AATGGAAAAAAATACATATTATTATGTATTATTTAAACTTATTGCTGAATATATATTCGGTAATGAGTTTTCGAGAACGTTAATGGATTTGTTATTTTTAACAGACTTTTGTCAGCTTGACCATTTCTGTTTAACTTTTTTTTTTATTGCTTAAATGGGTGGACGAGCTCACAGCCCACCTGGTGTTAAGTGGTTACTGGAGCCCATGGACATCTACAAAGTAAATGCACCAGCCACCTTGAGATATAAGTTCTAAGATCTCAGTATAGTTACAACGGCTGCCCCACCCTTCAAACCGAAACGCATTACTGCTTCACGACAGAAATAGGCAGGGCGGTGGTACCTACCCGTGCGGACCCACAAGAGGTCCTACCAACAGTAAACTATCAATATAGCGGAAGATTTAAAATTTGCATTTAGTTGAATTCTGAAGTATACGACTGTATTTTTTACACGTCTATCAAGAAGCGATTCAAATACTATAATTTTATTACTTCGTAGTGAGATCCTGAGCAAAATCACCAGAATAAAGAAAGTTATTTGATTTTTTAGTTCAGATTGAATTTATATTACTTTTTAAATAATATCCGTGAAGTGCGTATCTATTAATAAATGTACCCCAAATTGAATGATTAACCAACAACTGACTTGTGTTTTACATCAGCTGCTCCATCGTACAATCCAGAATGTTCTTCCTACTTCGCGGCAGAAATAGGGAGGATAGTGATAGGTCAGGAAGGACTCACATGGCACTAAAAACAAAATACCACGCATGTTTAAAGTCAAAATAGACTTTTTTCCTACCTATTCCCTGGTAGCCTAAGAGGCTATTCCAGCTACGAGAAACTCAGTAGGTTGGAGCGCTCCCCTAAGTGACTGGTACCTAAATATTAGAATGATCAGTGCTGTAACCCAGGATAAGTTGAAACTTTTGTTATATTGTACCGTAAACAATTATTCATTCCGGATTCAATAGTAGATCTCAAGGTGGGTAAAATTCATCTTAATTAATGAGCACGTCATTATCACCCGCGGGTATTTGCAAGATTATGATAATAACCAACAAAAAAAAACAATAATCATAACTACATCTACGGCTTAATCTCGCGTTTTTTATACCCGTGCTATTTTCGACGTTTCGAGTCATCTATGACCATGAAAACTGTAAAGTATTCACAGCCATAGATAATACACAATATTCAAAGCGCCGGAAATAATATTTCATTTAATATGACATTTAAAAACGCGCGATTTTAACTGTAAAAAACAGATTGAATTAAGTAACTATGATTATAATTCTCGAAAACCGAAAAAAATACTAAAACTAGATAACAAATTAAATAATAGTCTTAAATAGTGTTTCTCAAACGAAAACTTTTATGATTTCCATACATGTAGGTAACATGCATTCCATTATTTTTATTGCCGTCAATTTAAAGACGCTCTAGATCGTTCGTCGCTAATTGGACAGTACCGTAAAATGGGGCGATTAGGGACAAATTCCAACTTTATGAGCAATTTTAAGGTAGTTGTTGATGTATATAATGCTATATCAGGATCAAAATGGTTGAGTCTTGGGGGCATCTTTGTTGTCTAATTTAAAATTATGCAACTAGCATTCCAGTTTAAGCAAAAAATGCAAAAATAGGTGTAATCCCTATTTACCCGAAAATTGCNACTCCCAAAAGTCTAGGGATGACATGTCATGCGAAAGTATTAATTTTAAATTGATTTGCTTTTATATTGTTTAAGAAATCCAAAATATTAGCTTAAATTTATTAAAAAAGGCTCGAGTGCGACGGCATATACTCCGGTCACCGAGTGTAAGAGAGATGTCTGTCAAGATTAAAAAGAGTAATGTAACAGAAAGGACATTTTTGAAGTGAAACTTCCTTATCGGCGTTGGAAAAAAATTTACCGTCACATTTTTCGGTTACGCGTCACATTTTTCCGTTACGCGCCATCTTTTTTGTATTCATGTCTATGATAATAAAATCCTTTGTTTAAACTTTATCTAATTTAACTTTTTTGTATTCATGTCTATGATAATAAAATCCTTTTGTTTAAACTTTATCTAATTTAACTTTATTTAACCAATTTCTAGAAAGTTGCATGTAGATCATTTTTCGAAAAATAAGGCCATAAAGAAGTTTCACTTCTTACGTGTGTACACTAGTACACGCACACATTTTTTCCATGATATTGCCTACACATTAGCTCACAACAACCGAGAAATGAATTAACAAATTTGATATTATTTTTAAAGGTTTCCGGCAAATGTATTAAGATGTAACCAATGGATAAATATTGTACGTAGACAAAGACATGAAGAGGATTGGCGGCCAAATAATAATGAACTAAATGAAAATAAAAAAATAAAATTATTTGTCCTTTGCTGTTTTATTTCTTAAAAGAATAGTCAGGAGTTCATTTTAAATATATCAATTCTGCTTACTAAACCGTAGGCATCAAATAATTTTATGTTAGTTCTGTGACATTTTAATTGTTAATCTATGAAGTAAGTCGTGACATCGCAACGACACTGCGTAATATATATTCGTCTTGTTTACGGTCTTGCTAGTTAGCATGCTATCTTTTTCACACATTACAACCTTGTCAAGTTAACTCTGCTCACGCGGCTATATGATATTATCATCAACTAATTGTCGATTTAATTCGTCCGCATAATATCGTATAGTTTAGTGTGTTTATAAATATATATAGGTACATACGCCGCGGACAAGCTTGACTTCGTATTAGTACTAATATAACGTATCTACCTCTTTTTACTATAACATCATTGTATCAAACGATCCATGGTATAACTTAAATAATATGCCACTCTAGGAGTCAGTGGACACATAACACGTAGAATCAACGTTCATAGCCGAACGAAACTTTCAGCAAATAGGTTTCCAATGTTCCAGGGCGACAGCGGCAGTGCATTAGTTCGTATCGACAACGATGAAGAAATCGGCATCGTATCCTGGGGATTCCCGTGCGCAAAGGGAGCCCCCGACATGTTCGTCAGAATCAGCGCCTACCGCGCCTGGCTAGAAGAGAACATCATATAAATCCGACATGTCTATGAGGCTAGCCAAATAAACACTTACTAAATGACTTGAGTATTTATTTGTGTACTAGCTGACCCGGCAGACTTCGTAGTGCCTCAACCGATAAATAAAAGATCTAAACTTTTTTATAAAATAAACTTAAAACAAACAAAATGAATCCGTGCGACGGAGGACACATCAAAGGAAAAACAAAATTGTTATTTTTATTTCATTCAGAGCATTTTCATATTTATCTACCTTTTAAACCTTCTCTGGACTTCCACAAATAATTCAAGACCAAAATTAGCCAAATCGGTCCAGCCGTTCTCGAGTTTTAGCGAGACTAACGAATATCAATTAATTTTTATTTAAATATAGATTAGAATATTTAGGCCTCTCGTTAGATTCGAAGTCGTCGTGGCCTAAAGTATAAGACGTCCGGTGCATTCGTATGTAGCGATGCGCCGGTGATCGAATCCCGCAGGCGCGTACCAATTTTTCTGATGAAATACATACTTCACAAATGTTCACGATTGACTTCCTCGGTAAAGGAAAATATCATCGTGTAATAAAAATCAAACCCGCAAAAATATTTGCGTAATTACTGGTGGTAGGACCTCTTGTGAGTCCGCACGGGTAGGTACCACCACCCGCCTATTTCAGCTATGAAGCAGTAATGCGTTTCAGTTTGAAGGGTGGGGCAGCCGTTGTAACTGTACTGAGACCTTAGAACTTATATCTCAAAGTGGGTAGCGCATTTACGGTTGTAGATGTCTATGGGCCCCAGTAACTTCTCAACACCAGGTGGGCTGTGAGCTCGTCCACCCATCTAAGCATTAAATAAATAAAAACATACACAAAATATATTAAGTATACATATATACACAAATACATGTACATCAATAATATGATGTGGTCCACACAAATTGAGTAAGTTATGCTTTTTTGCCCGGTTTCTCCGAGCTATTGTCTGATTTTCTTACTAACGTGGCTCATCGGCCTGAAAAGGATGACGGCCGCCGACACGGGCTTCTCTATTCGCTCCTCAATTAGTGCTATTTCAACATCAGTGACCCGGCAGTAACTGCCACCGGCGCCGCTTGACCTGACTTTGCCGTTCGGACAAAATACTAATACTACTACCACCAGTATTATTAGAAATAAGGTATCAAGTGGCTGACTGAGTAGATAGGCTTTTTATTTTATTGCGAAGGCATTTTCTTAATTCGTTTCTAGAGGAAATGTAATGGGTACATCAAACTCTCGTTAGACAGAAATAAGTCTCTAATATCTCGACAAATGAGCCACTTGGCGAAGTTACTTGTACTTACGTTTACACTTTACTTACACATAGTGAAGTTATCAACGTTTATCCACAACCTGCCTACAGAGAATATTGCAGTATTTTGGTCATGTTGCACGCAGGGATACCAGCAATTTGGAACGCCTTATGGTGACCGGTAAAATAGAGGGAAAAAGGGTAGAGGTCCCAAACGATGGTCGGACCAAATAGCGGAGGAACTGGGGATACCTGTCAGCGAAGCACTCCACCAAGCTACAGAACGGGATCAATGGAGACAGCTAGTTGACGGAATCGGACGGAGCCACGAGAGAGAGAGAAAGAGAGAGAGAGAGAGAGAGAGAGAGAGAGTGAAGTCATTTAAAAAAACACGAGGTGTAATTTTGTTTGTCGATTACAAACAAAATTACGATACATTACAAATGAGCGAAGTGGCCCATTCTATGTAACATATGACAAACAAAATTACATGTACTGTTATTTTTTGTTAATAGCTTCACTAAGTATTCTATAATAACGATTTATCTTAATACAATCAGATCAATAATCAAAGGCCTCGTATTATCGGTGTGATAAATGATTTGTCAAATTATAAATATCTAATGCTTAGAATGTTATTGAATAGTCTGATTCGGGCGAAGGGAGAAATGAACGTAAAATACGGAATACTTTTTGTGGCGTTCTTTGCAGCTGCCTGGGGTAAGATTTCTGATTTCTTGTCAACACAACGAACAAGATAGTTCATTAAGCCTTTTATCACATCGGATATATTTTGGTTTAACTGCTGTTGATGATGATTGCCGAAGCCCATAGACCACATTAACCTTATTCCAACCGCTCACCTTAAGATATAACTTGAAAGTCTGGTACCATTACTACACAGATTATTTGGGCAGGACTAGGTGGGATGGTAGTATCCACTGGAGGGTTATACCATCTTACTTCCAGTAAAGATTAGGGTGAAACCAGGGAGACAAGATGTATTGGGATGTAGAACGTAAATAAGCAGGGAATGCTGTTATTACTGATGTGTTAGGGAAATGTAATTCAGGAACTGGTAACTATAGTCTAGCCCGTGCTCTCTGATCAATAACTGAACAGACTTTTACCGATTTTGTAACTTTAATAAACTTATAATTGGCCACACCTCGTTAGTAGATATTGGCAATTCTATGGTATATAATTACCACAGTTACCGTAAAAACTGGCAAACCTTTGTTATGAAAGAAATCTCGAAATGGTTTCTGCAACTTTATTATCCCTGGCCTCCGGTGGATAAAGGAACTTAGTGATTAGTGACTGAACTGTCAGCCCTTATGTCTGTTGACGATAGTTGTGGTCAAATGTTTCTTGCGAAATTGTACAATACAAGGCAGCGTTTTGTGAATAAATATAATTATAAACAATATACAATTGTAAATACTCTTACTGGAGGAAAGTTCCCGAGTCTAATAAAGACATAACATTTTTTTCGTCCACAATCTTCATTCACATTAATTTTAAGGGCTTGTTTAATATATATAGAAGGTAGAACCTTTTTGATTTCCAAGTGACCTAGAATATAGAACTTCGGAAGCACATCACTTAATCTAGAAATTTTCAATTCATTTTAAAACAGTTTTTAAACATATTTGTATAAATTGTGATAAAAGCTCATACAAATTGTATTACCTATTATAAACGTAATAAGTTTAAATAAAAATAATATAAAGGCGTGTATACACACTGCAAATGTAATCTTAACTTAGCCGACGACTCTAGGAATCCGAAAAGTTACAAAGGAGAATTGTACATAATGTTTAATGATGAACACGTTTTTTCTCAAATTCCAGCCCTCCCCAAGCCTGAAGATGACATGTCCATCTTTTACGAGCACGCGGACCGGAACGCTCGTATTGTGGGGGGTAGCCAGGCAGCTCAGGGCAGCCACCCCCACATGGTAGCAATGACTAATGGTTTCTTCGTTAGGAACTTTGTCTGCGGAGGCTCAGTGCTCACCGCACGCACGGTGCTCACCGCTGCTCACTGCATTGCCGCTGTATTCACACTTGGAAATCTCTCTGCGTAATCTTATTCATACTATAATATTATCATATACTCGTAGTATATCATACATTATATATATATAATATATTTCTGGTGGTAGGACGTCTTGTGAGTCCGCACGGGTAGGTACCACCACCCTGCCTATTTGGTGCCTATTGCCTTCGGTAACGACTTAACACCAGGTGGGCTGTGAGCTCGTCCACCCATCTATGCTATATAAAAATAAAAAATCCATTAGCCTTTACTAATAGGCTAGCGAGAAATGTATTGCCAATTCCTCCTCCTTGCATCGATAATCCTCAATGGTGAGGGTCGTTGCTTCCTCTAACAGCTTTGTCCTGTATTATCCTGCGTCATTTCTGCCTATCCTCGGCGGTGTGGATAGCAACGTGGACTGAAGTGTTGAGAGTGGGGCGTATCTGATCCGACCAGCGGATTAAGTTTACCATAAACAATCTCCTATAACCGAAAAGTCAACGTTGTGTAGACGTAAATACTCGCTCGCGTAAATTATAAGTGCCTATGGAGGCTCACAGAAATTCAGAGGGTCTATGTTTCAATTCTCCCCCCTTCAAACAAGGAATACGTGATTGCTATACGGTCGAAATAGGTAAGTCGGTGGTACCTACCCAGGCTTCAAGTGCACAGTACAGCACAAGTACACACACATAGCCAGTCCCACCAATACATTCTTTAAAATTGCCGTATTATAATTTCAACTATGCCATTCGTTCATCGTGGAAGTCATTCATGAACGCTACGGAAGTCAAGCATTTGGAGGTTAACGGTAATGCCAAGGTCTTCCACCAAGCGGGTGAAATAGCTCGGACCCACGGTCCGAATACTGTTGTTCGGAACTTGATTATTGTTGGAGAGTACTTAACGGTGGGCAGCGGCTTGGCTCTGCCCCTGACATTGCTGAAGTCCATGGGCGATGGTAACCACTCACCATCAGGTGGGCCGTATGCTCGTCTGCCTAAAAGGGCAATAAATAAAAAAAAAATTAAGCTTATCTTGAAAACGTCGTCAGCAAGAATCAGGCACCTCTCAAAGGTTTTTTTGTTGTATGATAACTACATTCATAATGTTTATGGTCATTTGTAGCAATCATGGATTCTTTGCTATCAAATTTAGTGCAAAAATGGCGAAAAATTCATATCTTACGTTAATGTTGGCACTTAAGCCTACAACTATTATTTGGAATGTGGATTTCTAGTCTCGTATATACATAGGCATTCATAAACAAGAAAAATTGAGCCTAATGCCGTTCGACATGGAAGGTTTTTAAAAACCTAACCTCGCCGGTGCCACTTTTGAACCCGAAGATTTTGGGTATTAGTCCCGTCTTTGCACCAATACCAATCTTGTGTTCTGACTTCCAACTGCATTAGACTAACCGTTATTCTAATCCAGTTAGAAGTGAGGCCCCATTACTAAACACGATGCTCGTATTCACGTGTGGTGTCCATTATCTGTAGTGGCTTAGCTCAGGTGAGACGCTTGCTCATCTGCCTGCCATAGCAAAAATGTTCAAAACTGATTTTATTATAGGGTTAATGTCATAAATTTATTCGTTTTTTCTTTTGCACAGAAATCTTCGTCTGACAGTCGGTACAAACCAATTTATCTCTGGAGGTGCTATCCACACTGTCTCCAGAAACATCAGCCACCCTCACTACGTCTCCAACACCATCAAGAACGACTTGGGTATTCTCATAACTTCCTCGGACATCGTTTTCAACAACCGCGTCAGGCCTATCTCTTTGAGTTTTGACTACGTACCTGGAGGCGTCCCTGTCAGGGTTGCTGGATGGGGAAGAGTTGGGGTGAGTTTAATAGTATTTGAATTGGTCGGTATAGAAGCCGAAAAGTAACCCTTAAATATAAAAACAAAAATAAGTACACCATTCAATGACCCCAAGCTAGGATTTGCTTCTGTGCTAAATGTGTAGAAAATATCATCAATCGTAATATTTGGATGAGAAACATTTTAACTAGCTTAAGACATTAACAATTATTTCCAGAAAACAGCAGGCTGGTGATAGTTAACTTTTATTAAAATCAAATATCTGCACTTTACTACTTATAAAGTTTACTGGTGGTAGGACCTCTTGTGAGTCCGCACGGTAGGTACCACCGCCTCGCCTATTTCTGCCGTGAAGCAGTAATGCGTTTGGGTTTGAAGGGTGGGGCAGCCGTTGTAAATATACTGAGACCTTAGAACTATATCTCAAGGTGTGTGGCGCATTTACGTTGTAGATGTCTATGGGCTCCAGTAACCACTTAACACCAGGTGGGCTGTGAGCTCGTCCACAAATCTAAGCAATAAAAAAAAATAAAAAATAAAAAAGTTCTCTCCAGCTGGGCCAAAAGTGATGCATTTCAAAAAAATTTAGGCTTTTATAGCAACTGGATCTTCTTTGCAGGCTAACGGTGCTCTCTCCATGAATCTTCTGGAGATCAATGTGAGAACCATTGACGGTCAGTCTTGCGTGAGGGCTGTGGCCCAGGCGGCCATTGACTTTAATGTAAGGGCTCTTCCTGTCGAACCTCACATCGAACTCTGCACATTCCACGCAGAAGGAACTGGTACTTGCAACGTAAGTATGTAAACAACGCTTTCTCGGCCGATTTTCACCTCCCCTGCAAATTTTCTTTACAATATTCATAAACACATATAAATTTTGGGGAAACATTGGGGAAATAAAATCTCTTTGGCTATACTATTTGTATCTGGCTGGTTATGGTATCATTAAAAGTTTAAATTTTAAAGAAGATAATTCCAAATTCAAATTGTAAAATGTGTGATTTTTATTTATTTTTCGTACTGTCAAGATGAGTGAACCTAATGAAGAAATTCGATACATTTTAAAATTTTACTACAAAAAAGGTAAAAATGCAACGCAAGCCGCGAAACAAATTTGCGATGTTTATAGACCTAGTGCAGTGTCTGTGAGTGTAGCACAAATTTGGCTTAAGCGTTTTCAAACCAGAAATTTTGATGTCAAAGATGCACGTGGCTCTGGTCGCCTTATTACGGATAAAATGGATGCCATTTTTAAAAGAGTGGAGCAAGATCGGTATATCAGTAGTTACGATGTAGGTGAAGAACTGGGAATTGACCACAAAACAGTTTTGGCGCATTTGAAAAAAAACTGAGTACACAAAAAAGCTTGATTTTTGGGTACCTCACGAGCTCACTGAAAGAAACATAATGAACCGTGTACTCATTTGTGATTCTTTACTACGACGTAGTGAAAGCGAACCATGTTTGAAGAAGATGATAACTGGTGATGAAAAGTGGATCACGTACGACAAGAAAGTGCGAAAAAGGTCGTGGTCAAAGGCCGGTCAGGCTCTACAGGCTGTGGCGAAGCCCGGGGTAACTCGCAACAAGGCGATGCTGGGTGTGTGGTGGGATTGAATGGGCATTATTCATTATGAGCCGTTACCACCAGGCAGGACCATCGATTCTGAACTCTACTGCGAACAACTGATGAGATTAAAGCAAGAAGTTGAGAGAAAACGGCCGGAATTAATGAACAGAAGGGGTGTCGTTTTTCATCATGATAACGCTAGACCTTACACAGTTTTAGCCACTCAGCAAAAATTAAGAGAGCTTGGCTGGGAGATGTTGATGCATCCGCCGTATTATCCTGACCTTGCACCTTCAGATTTCCACCTGTTTCGGTTTCTTCAGAATTCTTTAGGCAGTGCCAGGTTAACATAACGAGAGGACTGCCAAAACTAATTGTCGCGGTATTTTGATCAGAAGCCCCAAAATTTCTATAGCAATGGTATCATGTCCCTACCTACAAGATGTCAAAACGTTATCAAACAAAATGGTACCTACATACTTTAGTTAAATGTAAATAATCTATAGTAAAAAGGTTGTGAATTTTCTTAAAAAATACGAAGAAACTTTTCCCCCAACATTATACTTATATATTTATTATAACATCCGGTAAAAGATAGACTTAATCATTTCCACAACAAAATGGGCTTGTCTATTTAGATTTCTATGGTATTGATTCAAACAGCAAACTTACTTAGGATATAAATAAATCTTCTTTATACATACTATTAGGTCCTTCTTCTGTTATTTATTTATTTATATTCGAGTCTGCGCTTTGACTAGTTATAATCGTGAATCTAATCTATGATATATTACTCCAGGGTGACAGTGGCAGCGCATTGGCTCGGACCGACAACGGTCTCCAAGTCGGCATCGTGTCGTGGGGCTTCCCTTGCGCGGTGGGAGCTCCTGACATGTTCGTCAGAGTCAGCGCCTTCCGGTCCTGGCTGCAACAAAACATCAGCTAATTAAACTATACTTAAATCAAGAGTACCATGATTTTTTGAAAATAAACAAAAAACAATAAAGTTTAACGTCTTTTATTCTGTTTTTTTTAATCTGTTTCTTTTTTTAATCAGTCTGAGCTGGGAATACGCCCTAACGACATTATTTACTCTATAATACATTTTCGTGTTTCAATTAACTACATGATGCTATTTTTTACAGCTATTCTTTTACTCGTCCGAAAAAACTTTAACCTACAATTGGTATTCATCTGCGAATCTGCCCAAACGTTGTGAGCGCCGATATAGTGGCCACATTCAATAGAAATACGTCGGCTATTTCTTTGAACATCACCACTTCGATAAAGCGGCACGACGCGAGAACCCTCTCATCGTGGCCGCCGGTAACTACATTCCCGATCCTGCGGACAGAATGGAAAGCAGTCGACGTCGTCCCAAACACGTCATTTCGGATCCTCCCGATCCACTAGCGGTGCTTTTAGGTACCTCAAGCACCGGCCATCGTTCTCGTCGAACCCGTTGCTTGCGACGAAGGGCTCGACGAGTAAATTAACCCTCAGACACAGCCCACTGAGTTTCTCGCCGGATCTTCTCAGTGGGTCGCGTTTCCGATCCGGTGGTAGATTCTGCGAAGCACGGCTCTTGCTAGGGTTCATGTAGCAACGTCTCAGGTTTGAGCCCCGTGAGCTCACTTACTAGTTAAGGTTACGCTGATATAGCCTCCTAGCTTAGGTAGGAAACAAAAAAAAAATGAACCTCAAGGGCATTTGAGCTATACACGGGTACGGGCTATACAATCACTCTCTATATATTTGACGTGAAGCACCCATGGATTGTAGTATATTTAATGGGACAGTCGTTGTTATCTAATGTATCAGGGCTGATGAAAATGAAGGAACCGCACTAAAAAAATTGAAAGAGTACCTAGCGCCTACCTGCTTTTACAGGAAAGACTGTGAGTCATGATTTAGAGCAACCTTTATTTCGGTACAATCACGGTTTCCGTCATGGCAGCCATTCTTTGCGATGTTTAACTGTTGTGTCTACTTTTTAGAGGTATCTTGAGGTGGCCAGGAAAATGAATAAATGCGTTTACTTAAAATACTAATTATATTGCTTTTAATTATTATACAAATATACGTAAATGGACATGCGCGTCCATCTTTTTTCTTAATGTAATTAATTCAAAATTTGACAATTGGTGCCACTGTTGCGTTCCCTAATTTCTCATTGGTTCGTGCGATATCACGTCACCGCTGGCCAATCACAGCCATCAATGTGATCTGTTAACATTGACATTATTTGTTGCCTAGATTTATTTAATTAAATTTAGCTTTAGACATATTTTTTGGAACGATTACTTTTGTAAATCTATTCTCAGCTGTTAGTATTCCGTCCTTCCAGACAACCCTAGTCGTCGAAATAATTAGGCCAGTGGTCAGTGGCCTCATGGACTCGATAAACCGATCTGGACTAGTTTTTCAGTAACAGTTACATTCATTTCTTCACGATTTTCTGTGTAGATTACGGCATCAGACGAGGAATTTAACAGCTTTGGCTGTTGTAATATTGTCGACAAATGAGCCAAGTGCATATGACAAACAAAATTAACATACAATTTTTTTTTTTTAATAACTTCACTAAGTACTCGATAACAACGATTATCTTAATATAATCAGATCAACAATCAAAGGTTTCGTATTATCGGTGTGATAAATGATTTGTCAAATTATATATAAGTGGTGCTTTGAATATTTAATGAATAGTCTGATTCGGGCGACGGGAGAAATGAACATAAAATACGGAATACTTTTTGTGGCGCTCTTTGCGGCTGCCTGGGGTAAGATTTCTGATTTTTTGCCAACATGACGAAGAAGTTAGTTCATTAAGCCTTTTATTGCATCGGATAACTCTTGGTTTACCTGATGATGATGATAATGATTGTCGAAGGCGATAGACCACATTAACCTCATTCCAACCGCCAATACCGTCTTTACCATAAGGGCACACAGGGCCCGTGCCCAGGGCCCCGAAGGACCGACAATTTCTCTCACACATTTATTCTCAAAACATTTTTGTCGGGCACATTACACTTTTTTCACAAATCAGTAATATTATCAGAAGGTATTTACAAGGCATATACTACGCCCTTATATTGATGACTGCGCCTATTTCACATGTACTAATTAATAATATTTCTGAACGCATCCTACCTAATTTACTAAGTACACCATCTAGCGATCACGATAACGGTTTCCGTTATCGTAATCGTAACCAAAAAACCAGCAGCATTGTAATATCATTAATGACACATTATGTCATACTGTATTTGATTACCTATAATAAATGGTCATACTCAGTAAAAAAATGTTATTATAATTCGCTTTTTTTACTTTCCAAAAGGGCCTCAAATTCTTGTGTGCCCAAAGGCCCCAGCCTGATTTAAGACGTCCCTGCCAACCGCCCACCTTAAGACAATGTTTAAGTCTCATTTAATTACCACAGTTGCCGTAAAAACTGTAATATCTCTATGTTTTAAAACAGTTACAATTACTATAACTAGTGTTCCCGCGGTAGTCGAAATTCGACTATAATTAATTTAAACTATAAGATTGGACATTATTGTGGTTCTATTGTCAAAGACTATATATTTCTATAGTCAAAGATTTCGCCAAGACTACACTATAGACAAAAACTCGTAATATTAAAGATAAAAAATATTAAGCTATTCTCAATTTGACTACAGACTATAAGTAATAACAAAAGTTTGACAATAAACAAAAAGTATATGTGTGTGTGTGTGTCAAATACATGGTAGTGTGTGTAATGTTTTCTTTATTGATTTAATGTATTTTTAATGCATAATTAAAAAAAATATTAGCATTCTGCACTTCTTCTCTGTATTCTCTATAAGTGTGGGAAATTTCATACTCCTCCGTCCGCGCAATTTTCGTAAAAAGTGGTACAAAGTTTTTGTTTCACGTATAAATAGATTCTCGTTGAAAAGTTCACTTTTTTTTTATTGCCTTTGTAGGCAGACGAGCATACGGCCCACCTGATGGTGAGTGGTTACCGTCGCTCATGGACTTCAGCAATGCCAGGGGCAGCGCCAAGCCGCTGCAACTTTTGAGTTTTCATCTTCAGCCTGCCCAAGTCCGAAGATGACATGTCTATATTCCACGAGCACACTGACAGGTGCTGGAGGTTCCCAAATGCATCGTTAGTGGATCGGGAGGATCCGAAATGACGTGTTCACTGGCCTAAACATGATTTCTAGCATGGCGTGTTAATTAATGGACTACGCAAGCTGTAAAATTATCCGCTTATCTCTGTACTTTCCTAATTAGCAACTAAAAGATATGGAATCTACAAGTGTAAGGATTAATTTCAAAAAAAATTATCTATAAATCTAAAAATATCGCTACCCAATTAGTACGAGCGAGAACATTTAATATGATTGTGAACCGTATAGATTGAATAAGTTATGGTTTTTTGTCCGGTTTCTCCGCCCTATTGTCTGATTTTCTTACTAACGTGGCTTAAAAGGATCACGGCCTCCGACACGAGGTTCTCTATTCTCAGCTAGTGCCTGCTCTTGGACTGTGAGGAATTAGGAGATTTATTTCAACATGAGTGACCCTGTGGTAGGTACCACCGGTGCCGCCTAGCATGACTTTTACATGACTATTATTACAATTATTATATTTGCACATATTATTGCGTCTATTTCTTAGAGGTATCATGAGGTGCCCAGGAAAATGAAATGTGTTTACTTCAAATACTAATTATATTGCCGCTAATTCTTGCGTAGTTTGACTCGCATCGGCTTCCACCATCTCTTTCAATTCGTTGTTAATCACATGAGTAGGCGGTCTTCCACGTGTTCGTTCTTCAAATCAAAATTTCCATCACGAAAGCGTTTAAACCAAAATCGCGCGGTGCGTTCATTAGCAGTCCCCTCTTCAAACGCAACATTGATATTGCGAGCTGTTTCTGCACCGTTAGGTCCATGTCGGAACTCGTTTTCAAAAATCACTCGAATTTTCAAAGTATCCATCTTGCATGTTTAAGCTGAATAAGAAAAACAACTGAAAGTCGATAATCAAATGTTGAACATTTTTTAAAAGAAGAACCTCATAGGTACTATTTGAAAAAAGCTTCACTCAGAAATCTCAACCCATGAAGGTTCTATGTCAATTTGAAATACCTATTACAATAAAACGGCAATTTCATACTTTAACCCCTATTATCTAAGAAATTGAAATAGCAAAGCTGTGTTTTGTGAATAAATGTGATTATATAATATATTTATTCTTACAAGAGGAGAATTCCAAAGTCTATTAAGAAATAAATAATTTTGTTTATCCACAATCTTCATCACCTTTACTTTAGGGCCCTGTTTAGCACATAGGGAAGCCGGAACCTTTTTAATGGATTTCTGAGTGACCTAGAATTTAGAAAGACATCACTCAATCTAGAATTTTCAATTCACTCTAGAGCCCTTTTTTAAAATATTTAAATTATACAAAATGTGATTAATATCTCGTACAGATTATATTTCGTATTACCTATATAGTTGTATAAGTTGTAAAATGAAAATAACAAAGGCGAGTGTAGTTTTAAGTATGTATGTCTAAGACTCGTGAAATCCGAAAAATTACAACAGAATGCTGTAGATAATGAAACACGTTTTTCTCAAATTCCAGCCCTCCCCAAGCCTGAAGATGACATGTCCATCTTCTACGAGCATGTGGACCGGAACGCTCGTATTGTGGGGGGTAGCCAGGCAGCTCAGGGCAGCCACCCCCATATGGTAGCAATGACTAATGGTATCTTCATCAGGAGCTTTGTCTGCGGAGGCTCAGTGCTCACCGCACGCTCGGTGCTCACCGCTGCTCATTGCATTGTTGCTGTATTCACACTTGGAAGTCTCTCTGGGTAATCTTAAAAATTTCCATTGGTCTGTACTAGTAGTCAGCAAGCATTGAATTGCTACGTTTACTATAAACTTGATTATTTTTGAAGCTCATCTTCAAAATGTCTTCAGCAAGATTCAGACATCTGTCAAATATTTTTGTGTTGAACGATAGCTACCGCTAGCTTATGGTAGGTAATTTGTAGTAATCCTAGACTCTACTAAATTCTATCAAATTCTATTTTTTTGAGATTTGCTAATAATTTACTGTAAAAATGGCGATTAATTTATGTCTTGCTTTAATTTTGGTACTTTAAGCTACAACTATTATTCGGAATGTGGATTTCTTGTATCGTATATATAAATTCAGGTCAAAAAAAAGTCAGGTCATAAATTCTGTCACATGTTTAATGTAAAATAATTGAAACAAGTTTATTCATTATGTAACCATTCATATACCAAAATGAACTTAACAAAACATAGATTCTTATGACACTAAAGTTTATTCAAAATGACCTCCGTGATTTTGAATACAGGCCTTCAATCTGCGTGGCCAGTCGTCTATCGCAGCACGAACGAGGTCCATGTCAATATCGGCGGCTGCCTTAATCAAGGATGTCTTGAGTGACTCCAAATTGGGATGAGGCTTTGAGCACGCCTTTTCCTCCAAGTGTTGCCATATCTTGTAATCTAACGGATTCAAATCTGGACTGGAGGAGGGCCAGTCTTCGTGCCGGATGAAGTCGATTTCACGCGCCGCCAGCCAGTCTTGTGTGCTCTTCGCTCTATGAGCTGGCGCCGAATCTTGTTGGAATACCCAGTGCCTGTTATTGAACATGGTATGAGAAACAGGTTCCACAAGGTTCGTCAGGACTGTATTTTGATACACAACTGCATTCGTTTTTACACCTTTCTCACAAAAATGTACCTCTGTTAAGCCCCAATAAGAAACTCCCAACCATACCATGAGCGAGGATGGAAAATGACCTCGTTGGACACGCGGAATACGGTTGCTCGCTTCTTCACTACTGTGTGCGTACACCTTATCATTTTGTTTGTTGTAGCTCTCTTCTACGGTAAAAATTTTTTCATCCGAAAAAAGAATTTCCCGATATTTTTTTCCCGCGTACCGCTTCAACAAAGCGCGGCATCTCTTCAGTCTCAGGTCCATTAGACGAGCATTCAAACGATGTCCTGTTTTTCTTCGATATGCCCGAAGCCCTAAGTCTTCATTTAACACCCTTTTCACCGTTGTTCTGCTTAACCCCATCTGAAGGGCCAACAGTTTCTGCTTACGTTTGGGATTTCTTTGAATTCGCGCCTTCACAGCTTTTATCACTGCTGGAGTCCTAACAGACCGAGGGCGACCACTTCTTGACCTGTCATCTACACTATCGTTTGATGGTACGATAAACGAATCTTTTGGTTATATACAAATTTTTCAGTATGTTAAAAATTTAAATTGGCGCGTAACCGCAACGATGCAACGCAATAACTGCAACACGGTCTTCTTTAAGCGTCGATTCCATATTAAAAAATGAGTAAAATTCTAAAAGTATACATTTTTATTTTCATGAACAATTCGAAATTCGAATTCAATAAACTTTTTTGTGGCCAGCATTCTAAAAGAAAAGTTTTTACTGTGTGACAATACTTATGACCTGACTAATTACATATGCATTTATAACGAAGAAAAAAACCTTCCAACCTCGCGTATGTCATTTGTGAGGTCGAAGATTTCGATACCTTGGTCCCGTTTACGTATAACGCGATTCCGATAGTAGGGTAGTAGTAGATTCATTCGAGAAGCAGTTGCTCTTGAGTTGTTGGGTCTCCTTCGGAGGCGCTCGGGCAGCTGTTAGCAAATCCCACCCCTTCTGGCTGAGCCTTTGCTCGCTCACCTGTCCTGGTCAAACTGGAAAGGCCTCCGGGCCACCAGTAACACTTCAATCATACGAAAAAGTAGGTTAGTATAGTCATTATTCTAATGCAGTTGGAAGTAAGGTTTGATCACTTAACGTGGATACTCGTGTGATGTCCATTATCAGTAGGCAACGGCATGGCTCAGGAGAACCCTTTTCTCGCCTGCCTACCATAGCAAAAATATATAAAACCTATTTTCAAAAATTCTATTATTACTTGGTTAGTGATAACACTTAAGAACACTTAAAATATAAATTTTATTCGTTTTTTTCTACTTTTGCGCAGAAATCTTCGTCTGACAGTCGGCACAAACCAATGGAACTCTGGAGGTTCTCTCCACACTGTCTCCAGAAACATCACCCACCCTCACTACGTGTCCAATACCATCAAGAACGACTTGGGTATTCTCATAACTTCCTCGAACATCGTTTTCAACAACCGCGTCAGGCCTATCTCTTTGAGTTTTGACTACGTACCTGGAGGCGTCCCTGTCAGGGTTGCTGGATGGGGAAGAGTTAGGGTGAGTTTAATTGTATTTGAAGTGGTCGGTATAGAAGCCGAAAAGTATTCCTTAAATATAAAAACAAAAATAGGTACACCTTTCAATGATCCCAAGCTAGGATTAATTAGCTCTTGTGCTAAATGTGTAAGAAATATCCTCAACCGAATATTTTTAATGGAAATATTTTGATGAAAAAAATTTTAACCAACATAATTGTTAATATTCTGTAACAATTATTGCCCGAAAATAACAGGCTGGTGATAGATAACTTTTATTAAAATCAAATATCTGCACTTTACTACTTAAAAAGTGGCCTAAATGGAACAAAAGCAATGCATTTAAAAATAATCTAGGGTTTTATAGCATCTGGATCTTCTTTCCAGGCTAACGGTGCTCTCTCCACGAATCTTCTGGAGATCAATGTGAGAACCATTGATGGTCAGACTTGCGTGAGGACTGCGGCCCAGGCGGCCATTGACCTTAACGTGAGGGCTCCTCCTGTCGAACCTCACATCGAACTCTGCACATTGCACGCAGAAGGAACTGGTACTTGCAATGTAAGTATATAAACAACATTTCCTTGGTCGATTTTCGCCTTCCCTGCAAATTTTCTTTACAATATTCATAAAGATATATGTAATGATTGTAAAGTATCTACAATCATTTAAATATGTATTATTATTTAAATTGTCTAGTAAAAGATAGGCCTAATCATTTCCATAGCGAAATGGGCTTGTCTGTCTATATTTCTATGGTATTGATTCAAACAGCAAACTTTCTTACTTTGTATATAAATGAACCTGCTTTTATCTTATTATATTTATAATTAATATCATTATAATAGATTGGGGAAAAAGTATCTTCTTACTTTTTAAGAAAATTCACAACATTTTTTAGTATAGTTTATTTACATTTAACTAAAATATGTAGGTACCATTTTGTTTGATAACTTTTTGACATCTTGTGGGTAGGGACATGATACCATTGCTATAGAAATTTTGGGGCTTCTGATCAAAATACCGCGACAATTAGTTTTGGTAGTCCTCTCGTGATGTTAACCTGGCACTGCCTAAAGAATTCTGAAGAGACCGAAACAGGTGGAAATCTGAAGGTGCAAGGTCAGGACTATACGGCGGATGCATTAACACCTCCCAGCCAAGCTCTCTTAATTTTTGCTGAGTGGCTAAAGATGTGTGAGGTCTAGCGTTATCATGATGAAAAACCATACCCCTTATGTTGATTGATTCCGGCCGCTTTCTCTCAACTTCATGCTTTAATCTCATCAGTTGTTCGCAGTAGAGTTCAGAATCCATAGTCCTGCTTATCGGTAACAGCTCATAATGAATAATGCCCTTCCAATCCCACCACACACACAGCATCACCTTGTTGCGAGTTAACCCGGGTTTCGCCACAGTCTGTGAAGCCTGACCGGCCTTTGACCACGACCTTTTTCGCACGTTTTTGTCGTACGTGATCCACATTTCATCACCAGTTATCAGCTTCTTCACAAATGGTTCGGTTTCATTACGTCGTAATAAAGAATCACAAATAAGTACACGGTTCATTATGTTTCTTTCAGTGAGCTCGTGAGGTACCCAAATATCGAGCTGTTTTTTTAAAATGCGCCAAAACTGTTTTGTGGTAAATTCCCAATTCTTCAGCTACGTCGTAAATAGTGATATGCCGATCTCGCTCCACTTTTTCAAAAATGGCATCCATGCACTAGGTCCATAAACATCGCAAATTTTTTTCACGGCTTGCGTTGCATTTTTATCTTTATTGTAGTAAAATTTTAAATTATATTGAATTTCTTCATTAAATTCACTCATCTTGACAGTACGAAAAATAAATAAAAATCACACAGTTTCCTAAATTGAATTTGGAACTGTCTTCTTTAAAATTCGAAAAGACTTTTTCCCCAACCTGTTATTTAACCTATTAGATCTTTCTTCTGTTATTTATTTATTTATATTGGAATTTGCACTTTGACTAGTTATAATCGTGAATCTAATCTATAATTTATATATTACTCCAGGGTGACAGTGGCAGCGCATTGGCTCGGACCGACAGCGGTCTCCAAGTCGGCATCGTGTCGTGGGGCTTCCCTTGCGCACGGGGAGCTCCTGACATGTTCGTCAGAGTCAGCGCCTTCCGGTCCTGGCTGCAACAAAACATCAGCTAATTAAACTGTACTTTAATCAAGAATACCATGATTTTTTTGTAAATAAACAAAAACCAATAAAGTTTATTCTCTTTTATTTTGATTTTTTTTAAATCTGATTTGATGCAACTTCCCGTGGGGTGTCGCAGAAGAGTCCATCACCTTTGCCTCGAACGACTTTTCAGATTTTATACTACTTAAAAAATATCTGGCAAAATGCTCAATGCTTCTATCTAATGAAAAGGAATGGTTTCCCATTGAAGTTTTACCAGATTAGCATAAAAAGCTTAATTATTCATACCGACAGGATTTAATACCGATAAATTTTCATTATACTTAGTCTGCCCATAAATACTGTTACAATTAAAAATAAACAAAATATTACATTTGAATTTGGAATCTGTCATTTTTATATGATTGCTCATTGAGTTTTCTCATTTTGGCGCCAATAAATTGTACAAATCACGGAATAGATAAATAAGGTTGGAAAGGCCTTTGCTCTAATTTTGTATTAGAACCAGTGTCGCCGCTTCATCCCCACTATTTTAATTTCTACACATACACACACTGTGATTACAAGTATTTCGCACACAACAAAAACACCCACACATAAATCTCAGGACAGATATTCGTTCGCAAACTAGCACAAAACACCCGTAGGCATACACACTCACACACGCAAAAAGGCAATAAAAATGTTCATACACGCTAGTGCTTGATAAAATCGATATTCTTTATCGATAAATTATCTGATGAATGAATGGAGAAAATGAAACATGAAATAAATATAAAAAAAAAAAACTATTTTACTTTTATTAATTACAAATAGTCACTGTCGCTGGAATAAAACGTATTTGTTAAGCAGTTGGCGCTTGCTATTAATTGCGAATGAATTTTTCAAAACTAAGTGTATTCTGATTTTTTTTATGATAAAATCATTTTCAGTAAAATGTTTAGAGCAAATAGTACTCGTCTTTGTCTCCAGTTTCCTCTACCTGTCACGTCAATCCATTGTTCCCTGGCGTTAGGTTCTTTAGGAAACCTAAAATTTTTAATTTACTGCATAAGTCAAATAGCATTTTACTTAGATTTTAATACGTCTTAGACAATATAGTAAATACCCGTAAATTAGAGGTCTACA